TTGTGCTAATCCATATTTTTAAATCTTGACTGAACCAAAAATGAGAGAGGCTATAATATAGATAATATAAGATTTTATTGCCAGGCAGTAGTGGCTCATGCTTATAAATCCTAGCTACTCAGGAAGCCGGAGCTGTGAGCATTGTGGTTCAACCAGCCCAGGCAGGAAAGGCCTTGAGACTCTTATCTCTAATTAACCACTAGAAAACTGGAGAAATAGTGTATGGCTCAAAGTGGTAGCATACTAGCCTTGAGCAAAAGAACTCTGTCAGCATCCGAGCTCAGAGTTCAAGTCCCATGGTTGGAAATTAAAAAAAAAAAAAAAAAAGATTTTATTGAGTACTTACTAAGGTTCTTTTTTTTTTTTTTATGGTCGGTCATGGGGCTTGAACTCTGGGCCTGGGTACTGTCCTTCAGCTCAAGACAAGAGGTGCTCTACCATTTGAGCCACAGCACCACTTCCAGTTTTCTGATTGGTTTATTGGAGATAAGAGTCTCACAGACTTTCGTGCTCAGGCTGGCTTTGAACCACCATCCTCAGATCTCAGCCTCCTGAGTAGCTAGGATTACAGGTGTGAGCCACCAGCGTCTGGCTTTGTTTTTGTATTTTAAAGTGGTACTGGAGTTTGAACTCAGGGCCTTGTGATTACAAAGCAGATGCTTTGTCACTTGATCTGTATCTCTAGCCCATATTATTATTTTTGGCTGAATATAACAATTTCCAAAATACTATAGCTATCTACTTTATATAATATACAAAAAAGTACTTAAAGTGGATAAATAATATAAATATAAGACATGATAAGTCTGTAAAATTCTTAGAAGAAACAATAAGAATCTTTGGGAACTTGGATTTAGCAATGATGTTTTTAGATATGACAACAAAGGATTGAACAATCAAAGAAAAAAATGGGTCATGGACACTTCATCATAACCAAAAGCTTTTGTGCATCAGAGGATTTGTATGAAGAAAGTAGAAATGAACCTGTAGAATAGGATAGGTGATGTTGCAAAGTGCATATATTGCATCACATAACTGGGGCAGGAGGGTTATATTCCAGATTTCATAAATAACAGCTAAAACTGAGCAACAGTAAGAACCTATTTCAAAAATGGATAATGAATTTGTATAGACATTTCTGCAAAGAAGATATACAAAGACTAATAATAAGCATATCAAAAGATGTTCAATATCATTAGTCATTAGGAAAATGCAATTCTAAACCACAATTATATGCTACTTTATACCTAACAGAATAAACAATTGAATGTGAGTAGTGTGGTATGGTGATGGGGAAATTGAAGCCCTCCCATATTCTTTATGGAACTGTGATATGGTACACCTGCTGTGGAAAAGAGTTTGGCAGATCTTCCAAAAGCTAATTGTAGATTTGCCATATGACTTAGAAGTTTCACTCATAGGCATCTTCACATGAGCAGGGACTCATATACTTTATACCAATATTTACATGTTATTACTTACAGTAGCCACGGATGGAAACAAATCATATCCATCAGTAGGTGACTGAGTGTTGCATTAAAGATTACACTTTAATGAAAACATTATATCAAATGAGAAAATAAGCAGACACAAAGGGACAATATTACGTGGTTCTAATTACACAAGCTACCTTGAATCTGGATTTGCCAATCCAGATACCAAAAGTAGATTAGAAAGTACTTTGAGTTGAGAGGAGACTTTAATGGCTAAAAGATGTCTGTTTGGGGTTATGCACTGGTGGCTTATGCCAGTGATTCTAACTATACAGGAAGGTAGAGTTTAGGGGATTGAGATTTGAAGCCAGTCCAGGTACAAGTCTGCAAGATTCCATCTCCAATTAAAAAAAGAAACTTCATTTCCAGCAAAAAGACAGACTGATCATGTGGCTTAAGTGAGCAAGCAAACTGAATAAGCACAAGGTTTTTAATTCAAACCATAGTAGTGACAAGGAAAAAGGGGAATTTCTTTGTAAGTGATGAAATAAAAATTGGTGATGGTTGGGGCTGGGAAGGTGGCTCAGTGGTAGAGTGCTTGCCTTGCATGCATGAGGCCCTGGGTTCGATTCCTCAGCACCACAGAAGCAGAAAAAGCCAGAAGTGGCACTGTGGTTCAGGTGGTAGAGCGCTAGCCATGAGCTGAAAAACTGAGGGACAGCGACCAGGTCCAGAGTTCAGGCCCCACAACTGACCCAAAAAAAAAAAAATGGTGATGGAGACAAAAATTTTGAGTGTACTTAAATTGCTAGTAAATAATTTTGTATTATACATTCATTATAAGTATGTAAGCTTATATTACCTATCTTCACCATAAGAAATATTTAGTGTTATAGAAAGGAAATTTGACTAGCTTTAGCAATAATCTTAGGCTCTAACATATTCAGTATCAAAATAGGTACATAACTTAACAATGGAAAACTTTTAGTATAAGATACTATTAATTCCCCAGAAAAATAAAAGCAGGAAATTAAAGCAAATCAATCACTAGTTATTTTATTTATATCATCAATATGCTTCATCTCCATATCTGAAACTAGGTGTTATTAAATATTATTTATGTACATTTTGACCATTTCTGACCTACCTTTTCGTAGCTTTTAAGTCAATTCTGTTTTCTGTTCTAATTTATCTTTTGTTTGTTTGTTTTTTGCCTATCATGGGGCTTGAACTCAGGGCCTGGGCACTGTCTCTGAGCTTCTTTGTCTCAAGGCTAGTGCTCTACCATTTGAGCCACAGCAGCACTTTATGCTTTTTTCTGTTTATGTGGTACTGAGGAATTGAACCCAGAGCTTCATGCATGCTAGGCAAGCTCTCTACCACTGAGCCACATTCGAAGCCCTCTAGTTTATCTTCATGGTGATTTTTCTGGAATAGTTTTTGGATCATATTTATGTAATGAACTGTGACATAGCAAGTATTTATTGGCACATATTCTTGTACTTAACACAAAATCTACATTTTACAGAAGACAAATTTGAAATTGAAATAGGTGGCTGGTCCAACAAGACCGTTAGTAGAGAGAACCAGGATTTGGATCTCAGTCTAGATGATTTTAAACAGCTATGTCTGTTTATATTTATGCTGTTTCTAGGTTACTTATAGAACAAATTACTTGGAAAAGCTACTTTCCAATCATACTCTTTGCATTTGAGGCATGCTGTTATGGTTAATAAAATGTGTGAAAATAAAATAGCTTTATAGAAGTTTTATTTTTCTTGGTAGTCTATGTTATATGTTTTCAGTATAACTTCCGCACGCCCCCTCTTCCCTCCCCTATCCAGTTGCAGGGCTTGAACTCTGGGCCAGGGCACTGTCTCTCGACTCTTCAGCTCAGGGTGAGTGCTCAACCACTTGAGCCACAGCGCCATTTCCAATATAACGTTTCTTTGAAGAAAAGAGTTTACCGAAAGATTGTAAAATTGACATTATTACTTATTTTTGAGTTAGTATAGATTTATAGTATGAAGGGTTTTCTTTGTTATCTTGCCATACAAGGTCATAGTATACTTTGAAATTTTCACCTCAGGAGGTTAGAGGCATGGCTCAGATGGTAGAGCACCAGCCAATGAGTAAAAACATCAGATACTTGGTTCAAATCCTAATGTGGTAATACTGAATATGTTAGAGCCTAAGATTATTGCTAAAGCTAGTCAAATTTCCTTTCTATAACTAAATATTTCTTATGGTGAAGATAGGTAATATAAGCTTACATACTTATAATGAATGTATAATACAAAATTATTTACTAGTAATTTAAGTACACTCAAAATTTTTGTCTCCATCGCCATTTTTTTTGGGGGGGTCAGTCTTGGCGCCTCAGAATTGGCACCTTTTTTATATGTGTATACTGGTACTAGAGCTTGAACTCAGGACCTGTCTTCTGACTTACCTTTCATGCTAGTGTATATAAGGAGTAAGCACTCTGTCTTGATTGCAAAATATTTTTTTATTGCTAAACATTTTATTTTCTGGGCTGAGAGGGTGGCTTAGTGGTAGAGTGCTTGCCTCACATACATGAAGCCCTGGGTTCAATTCCTCAGTACCACATACATAGAAAAAGCCAGAAATGGTACTGCGGCTCAGGTGGTAAGAGTGCTAGCCTGGAGCCAAAGAACTTCAGGTAGAGTGCTCAGGCCCTGAGTTCAAGCTCCAGGACTGGCAAAAAATATATATATATTTTTTCTACCCATTAGAACTCATTGTTCCTTTGCCTATTCCTTCCCAACTACTAATATATTTCCTGTGGATTTTATTATTTGAAACATTTTGTCTACAGAGAATCAATAGAATCATGTACTTAACATTTTTTTGTGTGTGGTGTTGGGTATCAAATCTAGGGTTTTATACTTGCTAGACATGTGACTGAATAAACTATTAAATAGATTGTACGTTTTGTGTAGCCATTTGTTTAGTGGACATTTCTGTTGTTTTTATCTTCAGTTATCTGTCTAGTTGGGGTAAAATGTTTTAGATCTTGATCTTTTAGCTTTTGATTCAATCACTTTAGGGTCTAACCTGTAAATACTTTTAATAAGTTTTCCTTTTACTTTCAGGTTCTCTCTTTTGCCCTCCTTCATCTTCTCTCTCTCTACTTGTACCCCTTAATACCCCCTCTTTAAGTTCAGTTATCTGACATTAGCAAACACTTCTGATGGATTTAATTAGTCATTTTAGAGTGTAATTGGGTTAGTCAGCTTTCTCACGTAAATTCTCTTTTATAAATATATATTAACAAGAACATGTAGCTTCATATTAGGAGACTATCACTGTTGTGTTAGTAAGCCAGAGAGAGAGAATAAGAGTGGAGAGAGAAATCATCCATGCAAGTGATAGGAAGACATGGAGGAAGGGATCTAAGCCAAAATGTGCCTTCTACAACCTTCCAGTACCCCCCAAGCTGGGACCAGACTTTGAGAACCCAGAGCAGTTGCAGGACATTCCCAATCCAACCTAAATGTTAGTAAAAGTGTTTTCTTGTATCAAGATATTAATTTTCTCTGACAGATATGCCAAGAGTTTAACAGCACCTGGGCATGGGAGATGGAGAAGAAGGGCTATCTTGAAATGAGTGTTGAATGCAAACTAGCGCTCTTAAAGGTAATAAGTGTATTATCTGTTACAGTTATTTTTTATTCAAGTTTTCACTTTTGACTACTTGTTAGATTAGAAAATAAATGAAAAATAGACATTGAGACAGAAGACAGTAGACTCTTTTAATCTTTTACAGTTCAGTAATTTTAAAAAGTGTTCTTTCTTTGGTGTGTTTTAAAATTGTCCTCAAAACATAATGAATTTGAATTATTTCTGCTTCTAAGAACATTAATAGAATGGGCAAACAATTGCCTTAAATTCCATTTACCCACTGTTTTCAGCTTTGATGTTCCTTGCTATATTATTCTAAAGAAGTTTACCAACCTAGTAATTCAATAGTAATTTGATTACTAGTAATTTTATATTGTTTTTGAGATGACTAAGGGCATCCCATTGTATATGATTAAAATATACAAAAGCACTTGATCATCTCAATATAGGCTTATTTTCAAGTTTGAGTTTTCCTTTTTTCTCATTTTCTAATTAGTAATTAGCCATCACAATAGAGGAGAAAATATGCTTTGTGAAAAATGTAACAATAAATTCACTACTTGTAAGATTTACAGTAATTTATAACTAGACTTCTTATTGAAAGAACTTCAAGGTATTTATGATGGTTCTAAAAATATATGTCAGTGTGTCTGTGTTCGAGACAGGATATGGTTATTACTATAACCATAGAGATATTCATAGCTGTCCCTTTAGTGCTACAAGTTAATACATGTTAATTGCTGTTTTCAAGATGCATATAGGAAACCTTATGCCTCTGAGGTACTCTGTTCATGCAGCATTTATATCTTTAAAATGTCCAACTTTGTTTTATTTTATGTTGATATTATTTGTTTGTTTGAAATGAGATTTTACAATGTTGGCCGCAGATCTCAAATTTCTGGGCTCAAAAGATCCTTCTGCCTCAGGCAGCAGAGTACCAGAAAACATTATTATTACCTTTTTTTTGGGGGGGGGGTCCGGTCATGGGGCCTGAACTCTGGGCCAGGGTGCTGTCCCTCAGCTCTTAAGCTCAAGGCTGGTGCTCTACCAATTGAGACACAGCGCCACTTCCGGCTTTTCTTTTTGCTTATGTGGTGCTGAGGAATCGAACCCAGGGCCTCAGGCATGCAAGGCAAGCGCTCTACCACTGAACCACCTTCCCAGACCATTATTACCATTTTTTAAATACCACTTTGAAACAAAAAGTAGGGATTTTCTCAGAAATTTTAAGATGGAACTGCCAAATGATTTAGTAATCCCCTGACTAGGTATGTAGTCTACAGAAATGGAATCTTTAGGTCAAACAGTCATGTGTACTCTGATGTTTACTGCAATAATGATGCAGTAATGGAATCAAATCTAACTTGAATACAAATGAGTAGATTGAACATAGTATATATACATAGTAGAATATTATTGAGCTGGAAAAAAAAAGAAGGAAATACTGTCATTTGTTCCATGATGAACCTGGACAACATTAAGTGAAATAAGCCAGATACAAGTACCCCTTATAATATCTAAAAGCAACGTTTTATATGGTAGTGACCATAAGTTACAGTTAGGGTGGTCTGATTGGAGAGGTTTTTGGTCTGACTTTCAAAAATTGTGCTAGGCAGATGATCTATCATACAAGATATAATATATAAGATATTACATACTTGAAAATTACTAATTTTGTCAGTCTTATCTTACCACAGAAATATGTACATTGAGGTAATAGATATGTTAACTAGTTTGATTTGTCAGTTCTACATGACCAATGTCTCTCTATATCGAAACCTACTATTGTATACTATTAATATTTAAGATGTTTTCCAGCATAATTCATTACTTAAAAATAAATGAAACCTTAAGTAAAGTTTTATGTAATTGTGATTTTTACTGTACTTAGACTTATTGCTATAGAAATATGATTTGATTTGCTAGATGTGGTAGCACATACCTATATTCCTAGTTACTGGAGATGCAATAGGTAAGGAGAATTGCGGACCAAAGCCAACAGAGGCGAAAGATATTGTGACACACTGTTTAAAAAGCAGAGGACAGAGAAGAGGCCTGGGATAGACTCAAATAGTAGACAGCTTAAGTTCCATCCCAGTACTGTTACACAAACAGTCCTCCTAAAAAGAGAAATAAATATTTGATTTCTGTGTGTCATATTGATACAATCAATTTGATTGTATCAAATTGATATATTCATGTAAATTTAAATGTTAACTTAAAATATATCTTTTTATGTTGATTATTTTAAATGGATTTTACATAAAAGGTAGACAAGGTAGATGAAATTGAGTGTTCTATTTCCTTTGTCCTTGAATAAACCAGTTATGTGTTTGTATATTTATTGTGATGAAATATCTGTGAGATATTTTAAACCATGTTATAACTATTTTTCAGTATCTCTGTGAGTGTCAGTTTGATGACAATCTTAAATTCAAGAACATTATTAATGAAGAAGATGCTGATACTATGCGTCTCCAGCCAATTGGGCGAGACAAAGATGGCCTCATGTATTGGTACCAGTTAGATCAAGACCATAATGTCAGAATGTATATAGAAGAACAAGATGATCAAGATGGCTCATCATGGAAATGCATTGTCAGGTACCTTTCATTAGAATCCCTGTACATTTATTTAATAATTTCTTATTTTAATCTCTTCTCCACAAGAACATGTTCTAGATATCAAGGATGGTCCTTTTTTACAAAGTTGATAAATTTCTAGTACCCAATGAAGTGTCAATAATTTGCCAAATAAATGTAAATAATTGACCATTTGGTCTGTATCAGGGCATATACTTTACACCTCAAAAAGTGTTATCTGGAAGTTGGGTGCTGGTAGCTCACACCTATAATCCTAGCTACTTAGAAGGCTGAGATCTGAGGATTGCAGTTCAAAGCCAGCCAGGCAGGAAAGTCCATGACACTTGTATCTCCAAGACCACTCAGAAAACCGGAAATGACTCTGTGGCTCAAGAAGTAGAACGCTAGCCTTAGGCTGAAGAGCTGTGGGACAGTACCTAGGCCCAGAGTTTAAGCCCCACGACCAACCCCCCTCCCCCAAAAAAAAATAACCGCTAGAAAACTTGAAGTGGCACTGTGGCTCAAGTGGTAGAGTACTTGCTTTGAGCTGAAGAGCTGTGGGACAGCACCCAAGCTCAAAGTTCAAGCCCCATGACCTGCAAAAAACAAAAAAACATTGTTTGGCTTCTTAGCTATTGTATGCTGTCAGGTGTTACATTTCTAAATATATTAATTTGGCCAATTCATCTTGATACAGTGTATTTTGTATTTTGCTACATATACCACTCTCTCCCTCTCCTTCTCCCCCTCTCCCTCTCCCTCTCCCTCTCCCTCCCTCTCTCCCTCCCTCCCTCCCTCCCTCCCTCCCTCCCCCCCCTCTCTCTCTGCCAGTCTTGGGCTTGAACTCAGAGCCTGGGCACTATCCCTGAGCTGCTTTTGCTCAAAGCTAGCAATCTACCACTTCAGCCACCACTTCTGGCTTTTTCTATTTATGTGGTACTGAGGCATTGAATCTAGGACTGCATGTATGCTAGGCAAGCACTCTACCTCTTACCTCTAAGCCACCTTCCTAGCCCCATATGCCTTTCTTTATTGAAGTTTTAAAAAGCATTTAGAGAACTTTTGTGTCATAATTCTTTTTATTTTTTTAATTCCTATTTGTGCTGACAATAATATTTGAATAGAAACATTTAATGAAAATACTTTTAGAACACTCAATTGGCATTTCTGAATTTCATTATTGTTAAGTAGTTCTACAAAGAGGTTTTAATTCTACATATGAGTATCTTCTTTTTATTTTTGGTGCCATCTTGGGACTTAAACTCAGGGCCTAAGCACTGTCCCTGCCCTCTTTGTGCTCAAGGCTAACACTCTTATCACTTGGAGCCACAGCTCCATTTTTGGCTTGTTTTTGCTGCTTAATTACAGACTTTCCTGCCCTGGCTGGCTCCAAACTGAGATCCTCAGATCTCAGCCTCCTAGGATTACAGGCTTGAGCCATTGGTGCCTGCCTTGGTGTATTATTTTTTGAGCAAATATAATTGCATGATCTTCATGTAGTTTTTCTAAATGTAGGTAAGTATTCCTGAAGTAAAATTAACTCACCATCTCTCTCTGTGAATGTAGACACTTAATGATGTTCTGTTTATGATGTTTGATAGTGCTTCAATGTGTACTATTCCATGTGTACATATACTAGCCTTACATAGATTGGGGGGGGGTGCAGTTCTGAGGCTTGCACTCAGGGCCTGGGCACCACTCCTAAGCTTCTTTTGTTCAAGGCTAACACTCTACCACTTGAGCCACAGTGCCATTTCCAGCTTTTTCTGTTCATGTGTCCTGCTTTATCTGTTTATGTGGTACTGAAGAATCGATCCCAGGGCTTCATACATGCTAGGCAAGCACTCTACCACTAAGCCACATTCCCAGCCTACTTTTTTTTTTAATATCCTCTCTAGAGCTAGGTACCAGTGGCTCACTCTGTAATCATTGCTACTCAGAAGGCTGAGATTTGAGGGTCTTGGTTCAAAACCAGACTAGGCAGGAAGGTCTGAGATTCTTTTCTTTTTTTCTTTTTTGTTGGTCGTGGGGCTTGAACTCTGGGCCTGGGTGCTGTCCCTCAGCTCTTCAGCTGTACACTAGCGCTCTACCACTTGAGCCTCAGCCCCACTTCCGGCTTTTTCTGCTTATGTGGTGCTGAGGAATCGAACCAAGGACCACATGCATGCAAGGCGAGCAATCTACCACTGAGCCACTTTCCCTGCCCCAAGAAAGTCTGAGACTCTTATCTCCAATTAAGCACCAAAAAAGCTGTGGAGCTGTGGTTATAGTGGTAGAGCACTAGTCCTGAGCAGTAAAGCCCAGGACCTGCACAAAAAAGAAAAAGGGAAGTGTGTGTGTGTGTGTGTGTGTGTGTGTGTGTGTGTGTGTGTGTGTGTGTGTGTGTGTCTTATAGAAGAAAATATCTAAGGGGAAAATCAATCACAGTCATACATGCACCAGACAACTTCTCATGTGCACTGAAGTTGTGACCCTAGGATTCATGTTGTAAAAAAAAGTTTTGTGGTTATATTTACTTTTTAATATCTAGTGGGATTGGCTAATAAAATTTATGTTGAGAACTGTTGCACCTGAGGGTTTAGCGTGTGTATTTGAACATTGTCTTGTCTAGCTGGACTGCAAGAAGGCTCAGTTCTCCTTGGGACTTGGAGCAGTTTTCCTTAAATTTTTTGCTAAAGTTAACAGGTTCAATCTGTTGTCCAAGAGGCAAGTTATCCTCTCATTTCTTTGATCTCCTTTCCTTGATCCTTGTTAATTCCATTTAGAGTCCTCCCTCAGGACAACATCTCTTCCTTAGGAGGTTTCAAGGACCTTATCAGCCCAAGCCTCAGCTAGTAACCAAATTGTAGATCTTTCCTCATAAGTACAGCAAATGTCTAAGATGCCCAAATGTCATTCCAGGGAATTCCTTAATAAAAATGGAAGAGTCTTGCCTGAGAAGCCAAGCCTGGCTGGGAGGGTGTTATTCTTGTATATTAAGTGTCCTGACCTAGTTGGTGAGCATGTTGTAAGATTTTATGTTCAAATCTAAGTTTATCCATTGACTCTTTGTAGCTACATTATTTCCATGTGTTACTTTTCTGTGCTTTAACTCCCCACCCCAGCCTCCCAAATAGTAAGGAATATATGACAAGACCCTGAAAGCTTTTAAGGATGTGGAAGACAAGGTTGATATGACTGGATGATGGAAGAACTTCAAGTCCAAAGTCTTACTCTGTCAGTACATAGGAAAGTTGCTTGAGTTTGAGTAGAGATGACTGTTGAGAAAGTGGCCTTTACTTTGTTGGACCAGGAGGGCTGTAGTTGTCACAAAATGAAACAGACATTACAATCAACAGTAAAAGGTACTCAGTAGCCTCTTCCACAAGAAGTTTATCTATCAGTACTGTTTTATCCAAGGTGACTTGAGCAGACACAGTGTCATTTGCAAGTCCAAGTGAAGTGTCACTTTTTTTGTTTGGTTATTTTTTGGTTTTGTTCCAGTACTGGGCTTGAACTCAGGACCTGAGCACTGTCTATGAGCTTCTTTGCTCAAGGCCAGCTCCAGAGCTGGAGCCACAGCTCCACTTCTGGCTTTTTTGTAGTTAATTGGAGCTAATAGTTGCACTTTGAACTTTGATTCTCATATCTTTGAACTTTGATTCTCATATCTCTCAGCCTCTTGAATAGCTAGGATTATAGACTTGAGCCAGACGGTCACTGGGTTTTTTGGTGTTTTGTTTTATGTTTGTTTTTTTTTTAAACAAAAACAGTTTAATTACCTCTTGTAATTTTCTCTACATGATTTCAGTCCTAAGGGAATTTGTGTGTTGGCTAATTTAATTTTGTAGCTTCCAGAATGGCAATAAACCAGCATATGAGAAGGGGAGAACCTAAATATCAAAACCCCATTATAAAGCAGAAGTAGTAGAGGTTGTCAAAGTCAGAAGACATACCATCCTAGATACCAGGAAGGCTTTAGCATTAGATAACCATAAGAACTCTTTTTTCTATAACCTCTAGTCTTTAGTTACTGTCAGAAAGGCTGGTCCCAAGTGATTCTTGTTTTTGCTGTAGTTTAGGCTGGCCTAAAGGTAGTTATGTAGCCCAGGCTCACTTCAAACTCCTTCTGTTCTAGCCTGTCAAGTGCTAGTACTACAGTCATGTACCTCCATACCCAGTTTGATTCCACTTTTATTGTGACCATTTCACATTATATCTGGACAATTTGCTCTTAAGATATTGGGGATTAATCACTCTGTGGCTGGCTTTAATTGTCCCTAGCCACTGGGATATTTCCTTTTCAGTCTGATTTGAACCCCTATTGGGGGAGAAGTGATAACAGGTAGAAATCAATTTGTATAACTAAAAAACTGAGAAGGAATAGTTTTTCCTCTTAGCTTACCTAATGTCCATTCCAGTCCCGGGGCTTGGATTAAGGGCCTGAGTGCTGCCCTGAGCTTTTTCACTCAAGGCTAGCCCTCTACCACTTGAACCACAGCTCCACTTCTGGCTTTTCTTTTTTATTTATTTATTTTCATTTTCAAATATACATATAAATATATATATATGTTTTTTATTGTGAAAATACTGTACAGAGGGGTTATAATCACAAGAGCAAGGTAATGACTACATTTCTTATCAAGCATTGTTGCCTCCTCCTTTGTTTTTCCCCTACCATGACTTTTCTTTTTAGTAGTTGACTGGAGATAAGTGTCTCACACTTTTCCTGCCCTACTGGCTTTGAACTGCAATCCTCAGATCTCAGCTTTCTGAGTAGCTAGGATTATAGGCATGAGCCACAGGCACTCAGTCTTATGTCCATTCTTAAGTTTAATTCTATCTTAAGTTTAATTCTATCTGTCCTATAGGTGATGTCTTTTCAAACAGTACTGCTCTGATAGTTCATAGTTGCAGTGACTTGTGTGGAAGATGAAGATTGGTGGAAATATGTTTCAAAACCAACCTCGCCAAGAATCTGTTGAGATCCTATCTGAACAGTAGTTAACAACAAAATCATCTAAAAATAGTAGGAGTTCAGTCAACACCTGTGGGGTAAAAACTCAATATCCTATCTCAAAAATAACCAAAGCAAAAAGGAAAGAAATGTTACTCAAGTGATACAGAAGCTGCCTAGCAAGTGAAGTTGCACTTCTGCTAACGTCAACAAAAAGCCAGTAAGAGCAAATATTTAAAGAAAACTAATTCATTTGACACATAAGTACTTTCAAGAGTCATCTTCTATGAGGCCAACTGCAAATGCTCTGAAGAAGAAAGCAAAATTTAGCATCTTTAGCTCAGTAGGACAGAGCTAAGCCAATCACCAGAATAGTAACTATTTTGGGGGAAGGGTGTTGATATGATCGCTCTCTGGATTCATGCTTGGCCATATGCTGTGACCATTTTCCCAGTCATCTCCAGAATAAGTAATTGTAGGATGGTGTTCTTATCTTAGAGATCCATTGGTCAGCCAGGACTTCATAGAGAATGCTGCAGGGGATAAAAATAACACATTTTTGTTTGGGGCTTGGGAGCTCAAATTTTACAACTGGGGGAGATTTCTGAGATGTGAAGGGATTGTTTCCCATTTGAGGAAGAGAGAGGTGTTGGACATATAAGCCACCATTGAAAGCATAGAGGTATTCCCTCAAAGGGTACTTCCATGTAAACCTACTGGGGGGTGGGGGGAAGTTCCCACCTTCCAGCTTGAGGCTAGAAGGTGTCTATCTTGGCATGCTGCTGAGCACATTGACCTTTGGGTATTCACTTTGTAGTTTACAGTGATTCAGGTCACCCAGGTTGCATGCTCGTACCCTTTGAGCAGAATTGAGTCATAGCACCAAATTGTTACTGGTGGTGGGATTGTGTGAGCCTCTTAATTACAAGGATTTTATGTGTGAACCCCTATGCTGAGCTTAGGATTCTGTTTCTTTTTTTTTCTTGTTTTGTCATTTTCTTATGACTGTATTCTTCACTTCATCTATGGTATATATATATATATATATATATATATATGTATGTGCACATCTGAGAGAAGGTTGGAGGAGGGCACAGAATCAGTGGAAAGCAGGTGAAAAAGTACAGCAGTGGAGCCCACAGGCCACACTGGTCATTGATGAAAGTGAACTATGCAACTCATGGGCAGAGATGAGAGGGAAGGAATGGGAGAAAGTGAGGGAACATGATACTATGAAAAGAAAGGAAATGTTCTTATTACCTGACATATGTAAAGGTAACCCCGCTATATATCACCTCTAAAACAACAATAAAGTAAAAGAAAAAAAAAGTCACAGGAGGCTCTAAGGCCCTGAGTTCAAGCCCCAGGACGAGCAAAAATAATAATAATTTGTGAGGAGACAAAGTAGTAAAGGGAGTGATTTCAATTAAAGTACATTATGTACATGAAAAGAAATTACAAAAAGAATCTAGATTAAAATGTTATTTATTGGGAATTTTCTAATATTATTGAATCAAAATGAATTCCCATGTTGTACTTCTAAACTATAATTTTCAAAAGAATATCAGGTAAATTTTGAACTCTATTATTAAAGTTGACTTTCTTCCATAATCAAAAAGTTATAGATAATTTATAGCAGTATCAAATAATATTAATCTCAAGATAGAAACTTATTTTTCAAATGAATCATGAGCTTGAATTATTTGAAAAATTTTGTTTAGCTGTACTACTGTTTTGGATGTTCTTAATGTATTTATCTTTCTGTAATTTTAATTTCCATTGGGTATTACTCAGTTCTTTGGGATAAGAAAAAGATTTTTATATTGTTTTGTTTTTTTCCCCTTGTTTAGAAATCGAAACGAGTTGGCTGAGACTCTTGCACTGCTGAAAGCACAGATTGATCCTGTACTATTGAAAAACTCTAGCCAGCAGGACAACTCTTCCCGAGAAAGCCCCACCTTAGAGGATGAGGAGACTAAAAAAGAGGAAGCAACACCTAAACAAGGTTTTTTTGTGTGTTTTTTGGCTTTTTTGCTTTGCTTTGTAATCTTTTAATCTTCTACTCCTCTACAAACTATATTTGATCCTAGTTTGAAAAATTAAGGAGTTTCCTGTACAATAAAGCTTTGTTATTTAAAGGGGAAGAAGGCAAAGAATTTTTTTTAGCATTCTAAAATATAAATCAAATATGTTCTAACTATTATAACCATTATCTTTTATTAATTTAAAAATGGTAAAACATATAGTGAACTTTTGTGGGAAAAAATACAGCATAGAATTGACTGTTTAAAGCATTTTTTTTTGTCGGTCGTGGGGCTTGAACTCTGGGCCTGGGCGCTGTCCTTCAGCTCTTCAGCTCAAGGCAAACGCTCTACCACTTGAGCTACAGCGCCACTTCCGGTTTTCTGGTGGTTTATTGGAGATAGGAGTCTCACGTTCTCTCCTGCCCGGGCTGGCTTTGAACCGCGATCCTCAGATCTCAGCCTCCTGAGTAGCTAGGATTACAGGCGTGAGCCACCAGCGCCCGGCTGTTTAAAGCATTTTTAAGTATATGGTTCTATGGTTCTATTAAACACATTTACTGTGGCATACCATTACTACCATCTATCCTTTTTTTTTCCCCCTAACTGAAACTTCCTTCCTGTAACATACTATCTTCCCATTTTCTCATCTCTTCAATCCCTAGCATCTACTTCTGTCTATGTGAATTTTTTCTTTTTTCGGGGGTCCGGTCATGGGGCCTGAACTCTGGGCCTGGGCACTGTCCCTCATCTCTTCAGCTCAAGGCTAGTACTATACTACTTGAACCATAGCACCACTTCTGGCTTTTTTTTTCTGCTTATTGAACCCAGGACCTCATGCACACAAGGCAAGCACTCTACCACTGAGCCACCTTCCCAGCCCCTGTCTATGTGAATTTGACTACCAAAAACTTCATATGAGAGGAATCAAAAAATATTAGTCCTTCTATGACTGGCTTACTTTGCTTAGCATAATGCTTTTAAATTATCTGTAGTATATCATGAATGAACCGTATTCATATTATATATATGTATGTAGATATATATACGACATTTTACCACTTTAACAGTTGTCACTTGATGTTGAGTACCAGTGGCTCGTGCTTGTAATCCTAGCTATTCAGGAGGCTTAGATCTGTAGAATACAGTTTGAAGCCAGCCTGGGCAGGAAAGATCATGAGACTCTTACCTCTAAATAAACACCCAAAAAGCCAGAATTGAGCTGTGGCTCAAGTGTTAGAGTGCTAGCCTTGAGCATAAAAGTTCAGGGACAGGTCTGGGAAGATGGCTCAGTGGTAGAGCACTTTCTTTGCATGCCTGAAGCCCTGGGTTCGATTCCTCAGCACCACATAAGCAAAATGAAAGAAGCCGGAAGTGGCGCTGTGGCTCAAGTGGTAGAGCTCTAGCCTTGAGCTGACAAGCTGAAGGACAGCACCCAGGCCCAGAGTTCAGGCCTCACAACTGGACCCAAAAAAAAAAAAACAAAAAACAAATGATATACTAAAAGATTAAAAAAAAAAAAAAAGTTCAGGGACAGTGCCTAGACCCTGAGTTCAAGCCCTAGGACTGCCCCCACCTTTGGGCTATTGTGAATATCCTTTGAATGTGGTGCACAGATAGGGTTGAGCCTTTTATTAGGTATATATCCTGAAGTTGGTATTATTATGTTTAATTTTTTGAGGAACCACTGCAGTATTTTCCATAATGGTTATATCATTTACGTTCATACCAGCAATATTCAGGACTCCAATTTCTTTGTGTCCTTGTGAGCACTTGTTAATTTTTGTTTTATTTGCTTTATTTTGGGGTGTTTTTTGTTTTTTTAGTCAGAGCCCTTCCTAATGACTAATGGTAAATGAACATCTTTTCAAGTACTTATTGGCCACTTATATTTCTTATTTGGAAAAATGTTTGTTCAAGTCCTTTGTCCATTTTTCTGCACGTGTGCTTTTGTGATAGGGTCTACTTTATGTTGCTCGGTATAGTCTTGGTTAAAAATCCTCCTGTCTCAGCCTTCCAAAGTAGCTGTATACATGCATGTCACCATGTCTGGCCTGACCATTTTTGGATGGTGGTGGAGGTAGTACTAGCATTTGAGTTTGGGCTTCATTTTTGTTAGGTAAGCACTCTGCTTTAGCTTAACTTAGTTTCACTTAGATCATTTTTCTTCTGGTTATTCTTGAGATAGGATCTCACTTTTTGCTGAGCCTACCTCGACCACAGTCTCTTATATATGCTTCCTGTGAAGTAGTAAAAACAGGCTTTTCCCACTTTGCCCATGTGTTGGTGGAGATGTGGTCTTGGAAACTTTGCTTGGCTGGCCTTGAGCCACAATCTTCTCAGTCTCTACTTTCAGCCTGTCCATTTTTAAATTGTAACATTTTTGTTGTTGAATTTAAATTTTTTTTCTTTTGGATTTTTCAAACTCTTATGTCTATGAGAATTACAAGTATTAAACTTGGTTTCTGATAGAGCATCTTTTTTATTTTTTATGTTAGTAATGGGGCTTGAACTCAAAGAATTGTACTCTTTATTTTTTTATTTTTATTTTTTATTGTGAAAATACTGTACAGAGGAGTTACAATTACATGGACAAGATAATGAGTACATTTCTTTTTTTTTTTTTTTTTTTGTCAGTCGTGGGGCTTGAACTCTGGGCCTGGGCGCTGTCCCTCAGCTCTTCAGCTCAAGGCGAACGCTCTACCACT